TTGGGTTTGGGTTTGGGTTTTGTTTTGCTTTGCTACTGACTTGTATGAGTTCCTTATTTTGGATATTAACCACTTATCAGGTTTGTGGTTTGCAAATATTTTCTCCCATTCTATAGGTTGCCTTTTTATCTTGCTTATTGTTTCTTTTGCTGTGAAAAACCTTTTTAGTTTGATACAGTCCCACGTGCTGATTTTTGGGGTTTTTTTGCTTATAATTTTGGTGTCATATCCAAAAAGTAGTTGCCAAGACCAATACCAAAGAGCTATTTTTAAAGTTTATTTATTTATTTTTAGAGAGAGAGAGAGAGTACAAGTGGAGGAGAGGCAGAGAGAGAGGGAGAGAGAGAATCCCAAGCAGTCTCCATGCTCAGCATGGAGCCCAACACAGGGCTCAATCTCATAACCCTGAGACCATGACCTGAACCAATATAAGAGTTGGACGCTTAACTAACTGAGCCACCCCAGCACCCCCAAAGAGCTTTTTCCCTGTGTTTTCTTCTAGTAGTTTTACAGTTTCAGATATTATAATAAAGTATTTCACTTCAAGTTATCAGTGGTGTAAAATGGGGTACAATTTCATTTTTTTTGCATGTGGTTATCCAATTTTTCCATTAAGTCTTCCTGGCTTTCTTGTCAAATATTAGTTGACTATATATGCAATAGCTTTTCTCTGGGCTCTCAATTCTGTTCCATTGGTCTATGTATCTATTTTTTTATGTTCATTTATTCTTGAGACATAAAGAGAGACAGAGAGAAAGTGAGCAGGGGAGAGGCAGAAAGAGAGAGAGGGAGACAAAATCCAAAGCAGGTTCCAGGCTTTGAGCTGTCAGCACAGAGCCCAACGCGGGGCTCAAACCCATGAACTGTGAGATTGTGACCTGAGTTGAAGTCAGATGCTTAACCGACTGAGCCACCCAGGCACTCCTGTATGTACCTGTTTTTAATACCAATAATACTGTTTCAATTGCTATATCTTTGTACTAAAGTTTAAAAATCAGGAATTATGATGCCTCCACTTTTGTTCTTCTTTCTCAGGATTGCTTTAGCTATTTGGGGTCTTTTGTAGTTCTGTATAAATTTCAGGATTTTTTTTCTATTTCCATGAAAAATGCCATTGGAATTTTGAAAAGATTAGGCTGATTATTTTTAGCTTTTTCTTCTTATATCTTATCGAGTTTATTTACTTGTCTTCACTGGGACAGTTAGCTCAAATTACCTAGACTGACATTACCAGAAGCAGGGGTATACAATACCCTCCTAACTGCTCTCATTACCCTCCAATTCCTCCTTCACAAAGTAACCAAGGATTCTTCCAAGGTACCATTCTCATTGAATCATTTCCTTGCACAAACCCTTCAAAAGCTCAATGTTGATTCTAAAATAAACATCAAATTCCTTATTTTATACAATTAGGTGAAAATCTCTCTTTCTTGCTTCATTTATTTACTGTACACTGAGTGCATGGTGTTCACTATGGTAGGTTCTGCCTAATCTCTTGCCTTTTACCTCTCTTACCTCTTGTCTTACTCTAAACTTACCCTCCACTCTAGTCGAACTGGAACATTCACTGTTGTGTGGCAGACCTGGGTCCAGAACAACACAGATGGCCTAACTTCCAGGTCAGTGCTCTTTCCCCTACACCACGATCCCATATTCAGGTTTAAGTCTGTTCAATCTGTATATTTATGGACATTGTAATAAATTAACTAAACAAAATTCAACTAGTACAACTTATTGTGGCATTTTTGTATTTCTTGTTGCTTTTCAGGCTATTTGTCTTGTGAGTTAGAAACTTAAACCAAGCATTACCTCTAGGGAAAGCAGAAGTTTGGGGAGGCTTTCTGGGATGTAAAGTCTGCAAGTGAATTTATCATCATCAACTTTTTTTCAATCTTCACAGCCACAAGGGCAACTAGGAATAAAACTTCAAGCTTTAGTCTTGTTCTCCATGAAAGCTGAGGGACTGACTGCCTATGGAATTTGATTCCAGAGTGCTGTGAACATCCTGCATCTAAATAAATCTACTCCCATCTGCTGGTGATTGCCTGAACATCCAGTCAAAGTTGAATCACACCAAAGCAAAACAAAACAACATATTTGAAAGTAGGCAAACCTGGAAACAGGGATTCTAGTTTGGGCCTCTACTGTTATTTGACCACAGGCCATCCCTTTTCCTTCTCTGGGCCTCAGTTTCCCTATATTACAATCCAGATGGTTGAACAAAATGACCTGGAATGGCTCTTCCATTTTTATCAACCAAGGATTGTCTCTAGACAATAGGATCCACTTCTGTATCTGATAGTGACATATGGATCCCACCATCCTTTTTTATTTATGCACCCATGTGGAAAGGAGAGCATTTGCTGCAATGGCAAGGAAAAGAGGGGATAAGGTGTGAGGGTGCTCTGCTCTTAAAAGAAGGCAGGGAACTATGAGACACATTATTTAAAAGTTTGATTCTAAAATGGTTAAGAAAGCAGGGGTAAAGAGTTAAATTACCCTTAGCTGTGTGAAACACTCAGCCAACCAGGCAACTGAAGGTTTGCTGGGCACAAGCAATTCCAACCCACTTCACCAAATACTGACGGAAAGTGGAAGAGGGCCGTATTTCTGTGTGAACGTTCCAGCTAACCAAGAGTGACCTTGAATTTCATTTTCATTGCAACCCTTCTCAATGGCATGCCTTAGGAAGTTCAGTGTTTGTGAATGTGACTGAGGTCTATTTGTTGATTGCCCATCTGGGCCATGGGCTTGAGGGACGTCTTTCTGAACTTGTCATGCGTCAAAGATAGGAAAGACAGAGGGGATTAAGTGGCAAAATTTCCTTATCCTCTGACATCCTTTCGTTTCGTAGGACAGTGTTTGAGGTAGTAGGAAGAATAAGAGCCCTCTAGTCAAAATTTCAGGTTTTTCCATGTAATGGGGCCAGAATGCAAAAGCATTGAAGTGGACTGCTCTTCAAAGGCTAACTCCCTTCAACATCTGAAATACTGGCCTTTGCTTTCTTTCCCCTTCCAAGGTGTCAGCCCTGGACCCTCACTTCAACTCTGTATGCCCTGGCTATGGGACAGAGTCACGTCTCAGAGTGATCCAGGTTATCCAGATTGGTGAACGCTTCCTGTTCCCTGAGCTTTGTCCCAGGGACCTGAACTTGGTATCAACAGCACGCTGAGATACTAAAGTCTTTAAGAAAAGTCTTGGGCTCCTGGAATCCAATTTCCAGCCTGATGTAATCCAATTTCCAATCCTGCATGGTCAGAGCTCTGTCATAAAACCCACCTGTGATCCCCTTCCACCCCACTAAGAAGAAAAGCACGTGGGATTATGTGGGTCAAGGGTTTGGGAATGAGCATCAGACATTTTCTGATGTCCAAATGTGTCCAGCTCTTTCAGAATGCAAATTCAGTCAAGGCATTCAAATCACCTCACTCCAGCCACCGCAAAAAACCAGCAAAAACAACAACTACAAACAAACTCTGAGTACACGCTATTCCAAAAGAAACGTACACTTTGCATTTTTGCAGATAGGAAGAGCAAGACCCACTGGGTGCCCAAAGTCAAGGATCTGTGTCCCGTTCCCAGCAGCCGGATCCCGTCCTCCTCTCCCGGCCTGGCCCCGCCTCTGTCTGTGTCTGAAGCTGGCCGGGGGACAACTGCAGAGGCCTGAAGGGGCGGGGGGGCCGGGCTGCGCGCGGGGTGAGGGCGGAGGCGTCAGCGCGCGCCTTTTTGTGCGGCTCCAGGCCCCCACTGGATTGGTTCGGTCAGTGTTGCCGTCGGAGGGGGCGGAGCCAGCTGGAATCCAGGCTCGGAGTCCAGTCGCAACCAGGAGCGGTTGCAGACGGAGCGCACTTCGCAGCGGCGGGTTGCATCCCGGGACTGCTGCGTCGAGCAGAGCTGTTGGGGGCTGCTCCTCCTGGGCTCTGGGCTCCCGCTCAACCCCCGCGCTCCTTGCTTCCCATACACTCGCTACTGTCTCCTTAGAGACTCCTAGCGACCCCCAGCTCCCTCTGGCCCCGCACTGCCTCCACCCCGTCCCTTTCCCCAGCTGTGAACTGCCGTCTCTCGCGCCTTCCAGCCCCGAGCTGCGCGGTCATGGGTATGAGAGGGATGCTGCGAGTCACCGTGTTCCTGCTACTCATCAGGACCTGGCTCGCGGAGGGCAACGACCCCAGTCCCACCCCAAAATTCCACTTCGAGCTCTCCCCCACTGTGCCCGAAGTCATCTTGAACCTCTTCGACTGGTAAGCGGGTGCCGCCAGCCTGGGCATGGCGGCGACAGGGACCGGCGGGCCACCTCGGGCCTCTTGGACGGAGCGGGCTGGGGTATCTTGAACCCAGCTCGCTGCCGAGTCATGGCGCGCGGGTCCTGCCCGTCCGGTCCCTGGAGGGAGATGGGATGGAAGTGGGGGCGACCGGTAGAGATAGAGCTCTGTGCTTCAGCCCACCTGTTACCGCGGCGCCTGACAGAGCCCCGCGTGTGCCCTAAGTGCAGCCACGGGCGGAGGAGGGGGGGCGGGGGGAAACCATGCCCTCAAACCAGGGTCTGCCATCCACCCTCGGGACTAAGGCACTGGGCAGGTTTTCCGAGTCATTTCCACTGGCACCTGGGGACTGGGAGGGGGAGCAGTACAGGGTGGACAACTCACAAAACATAGACAGTACAGACACCTGTTTGAGTCCGGATTTTAATCTGTTCCCTGAGGCGCGTGCGTGTGTTTGTATGTGTGTTGAACGGTGAGGGACCTTTTCCAATGCTGCAGATAGAAATTATTGACTCAGCCTCATCGGAGCCCAGACAGTGGGATCAGTAGCTGCATAACCGTATAAGCCTGTGTGGCCTGAGATGGGTGTGCTTTTGTACTTAGTCCTGTGAAAACATTCTAAGATTCAGGGTTTGTTTGTTTGTTTGTTTTTCTGTTTGATTTCAAGTTTGTTTGGGTCTGCAAATATCTGAAGAGATATTAAACAGTCTTTACATGTAGATCACACAGAAATGTGTGTTTGCAGTGGCCATGGATCCTGCGCTCTGGCATATGGGTAATGTGTGGGACTAAACAGGCGGGAATGCATTGCTTTAATTCGGGAATAATGCATGTGTACACTTTGGAGTAATGCAAAATGAAATTCTGTAATTAAAGATGATTAGAAATGATTTTTTTTAATGACAAACCAGAAATGAACATGTATTCAGAAAAAAAGGCGGGGGGGATAGTTGGGCAAGGTTCCAGCAGACAGCCCTGCAGTGTCCTCAACCCAACATACCAGACTGCGCTAGTGAACTCTCTCTCTCTCTCTCTCTCTCTCTCTCTCTCTCTCACACACACATGTCCACATGTGCGCGCGCGCGCGCACACACACACACAGATTTGCAGGGGCTGACGTTCCCTGATGGATGTGTCAGAGATCCTAAAAATTGTAGTGAAGCCCAGGGCCTATTCTCATTCACAAACCCCTTTTCTGGAAAGAGCCCTACTGAAGGTGTAGGTGAATCAGATGAACCTCAGAGACTTCTAGAAAGGCCAGCTGTCTGCAAGGCTGAGCTGGATCCACTTAACATGGGCTCACTCAAAACACGTCTAGGCTGGAAGCATATGCTTAGCTATAGAGATGTCTGCTCTCAGAATACATGTCTTTTGGAGGACAGCCCTTGAACCCCCAAAATCTAAACAGTTTGGTTGGGTGAGGGTCTTAAATCTCTGCTACATGAGCAGAGTTCTCTCTCTCTGTCTCTCTCTTTCTCTCCCTCCCTCTCTCTCTCTCTCCCTCTGTCATGTGCCATATATCAAGTCTTAAAAACAGAGTTGTATAAACATAAGATTTACATAGATGTAACCACAAAATGCCTGGTCCTAGCCCAGGTAGGGGAAATGTCGCTGAGGCTCAGAGGGGTCACTGAGGGTGCCATATGACCTTTCCTGAGCCAGTCAGGTGCCCCTGGAAGGACTTTCACCAACCTGGAAAGCTTCATCCAGGCTGATGGCAAGGTGGGCCTTCTTAAGGGGCTGAAGTAATGTGTTTATCCCAGGTCCGGAACTTGCCCATTCCCTCCCTTCTCTGCCTCCCCTACTGTCTCCTCTAGTCATGCCCTGCTCCTCCCCAATCCTGCCTGGTAACAAGTATCCAGTCTTTGTGCCCCATTCTCTGGCTAAAAGCGGAAGGGGGGGAGGGGGAAAAGAGGAGTCTGCGTCACTGCTGCGCTTCTGGCTGACTCACTCTAGGGAGGGAGAGGAGTGGGGAGAAACGTGTACATGTATGACTGTACATGTCTGCATGTGTACAGGAGAAAAGAAGGCCCTGACAAGTTGACATCTGGGGTGCTCTTTGCTGTTTGTCCTCTGAGAAGCAATGTGGCATTTACTGATGACCAGCATTTACTGGTGATTTCTCTGTTTCAGCAAAAATTGTGCAAATGAAGCTGTGGTTCACAAGATTTTGGACAGGGTGCTGTCGAGATATGATGTCCGTCTGAGGCCAAATTTTGGAGGTAAGACACAACCAGATACTAGAAGCCTTTGTGTGACATGGAATAGAGCTGAGATGGATGCAACAAGACAGCTCCACTCAGTACTGCTGCCCATTGGCACTCCCCAGGCTCAACACTTTTGCCTCTCCAGACCCCACATTCCTGACTGTGGGAGACCTTCAGCTGAGCACTTTCAGGGCCCCAACACCCAGGCCTTCTGCTCTGCTCTTCCACTTCTCTGCCTTCTTATGCAAGGGGCCTTTCTGCCCCTTCCCTTATAACAGCCTGAAGTGCACTCCCGGGTGTGGCTGGAGAAGCAGTAACTAAGAAATGGACTGTGCACTAGAGTTTTCTGCTACATTCGTGGGGAGGCACACATTCTTCTACTTGAGCACACATTCTTTGCACTTTGGACAGTTGCCCCATTCAGCTAGTTCAAAACTAAGGGCATGGTCTTCTCTGTCTAGTTTACTTTACCCACCGGGGTCCCAGGCACTTCCACCTCTGCCACCCCTTACCAAAGCCTTTAGCTTCCACCAAGTTCATTTTCATTCAACACATTCAAGTCGGTGTGATCTTTATAAATCCAGCCTGATCACCTCTCAGAGTTTCGATGGCTTTATTTAACTGCCAAATATAACCCTTAGCCTCGCAGTCAGACCTCAAGCACAAAGATGAGAAATGACAAGGGAACTGAAACACAAAGCCAATATATAAGTTTCTCCTCTAATTCCTGCCTACCCCCCACCCTTGGAAAGGGTGACTGGGCTCAATCACACAGCTTTAGGGGACAAGCATTCTAGTCCAACCCCACAGAAAAGGAGTAGCATTCTCCAGGGACCACCCGAGAAACCTAGACCAAGGACAGACAAAAGGAAGGGGAGTCAGTCAGTAAATAAGAGTTAGTCACATTTCAGCTCAAAGGAAACAGAAAGCTAAAAATCAGAGTGGCTGAGTGGAAGAAAGCCCTCCACTTCCTGCAGGTGGTAGACCTAGACACCTACTCTAAGGGGTTAATGAATGCTAATGATTCACATTTGTACATATGAATAGAAGTCTTCCAAAAACACAATGCCTCCACTCTAAAGGGCCCACAGCTAGGAAGTGTACATTGTAGTAGACCGGTAACAGAATTCTGGGGGCGCTGTGATTTGCTGGGAAAGCCACCTGGAAAACCAAGGCCCCAGGCTTTGGAAGTGGGACATTTGACTGGTGTTGCTTTTGCTGTGTTGCTCCCTCTGAGTCTCGGGACAGAAGGTGCAGTCCTGGATCTAAGTAAGGTGAGTGTGCACTGGGCATTAGAAAGCTGGAGTGGAGAGGGCAGAAGTCAGGCTCTTTCAGTGTGGACATTCAGATGCTAGAGCACAGCCAGCACTCTTGAGTGACACTGGTTTTTGAACAGCTGCACCAAGCGCTGGTGGCTGTCAAGGGGGTAGCTACTACACTTTCTCCTTTCCTCATTTTCGTGTTTCTCAGCAAAGACTATCCAACAGCCATTCATGTACACCAAGCACACCCTTCCCACTGTTTCAGATTGCCATCCCTGCAAGCATCCAGCATCAGGGGGAGGGAGCCGGGGCAAGGACCACCCTCTGGGGATTATCTGGTGTGGCTGGTCCAGTCTCTCCAAGGCACCACACCAGTGTCTTTTGAGCTAACGCAAATTTGTTTATACCTGATTCCTAACCTGAGTACACTAAGCTTTATAGGCATGTACACCTGGGGCGTATGAGGAAAGATGGGTCCTTGATTTGACCAAACAGTAGATGAAGGTGGGAGAGCAAGGACAATGCAGGACCTTCTAGCATTTAGAGAGAAGAAGGCACTACAGACTCAGTCTGGGACTGTTATATAGGGTAGGGAGGGGGTTGCCAATCAATGAGACACTGGGTCCAGGGTTTCACCTTTGCGGTAACCCAGGACTCCCTGTAATGCTTCCCACTAGACACAGAATCAAATTCCCCTCTGTGTCTGAAGTGATATAGAGATTCAAGGACAGACACACACACATACACACCCCCCACATGCAGAGGCCTCACCTAACCGTGGTCAGGTTCAGTGGGTCAGTAATGAGGCTGTGTGAGCCTTATTACTTCCTTGAGAGGAGGAGGAGAAGGAAGAGCCAGGGGAAGTTAACAAAGCTGCTTCTTTCTGGGCAAGAGAAGTGGGATTCTACAGTATTGCAAAAGGCAGGTCCCTGAGGACTTCACCTAGTTCCTCACCTGGCACAATGTAGGCACAGAGTGAAGGAATGAGTGGGACATCTTCACCATTCCTCCATTTATCTGCTTTTCCTCCCGTACTCTGATGGCTGCTAGGGAGGACAAGGACTTGGGGTAGCAAAATTTCCAAGAGGGAGGAAGTGGTTAACCCCTCTCTGCCTTCCTGAGCCCATCAGGAAGGAATATGGAGCTGAGGCCATCACCACAGAGATAGCATTTACACACCTTATCTGGAAACTTTTTGTTTCCCTCCATGGGATACCTTGGCTAATCTCTCATAAGGTGTCCCCTCTAGGTGAGTAAATTAGAAAACAGCTCCAGGTTTCCTTCCTCCAGGCTACATCCCCAGGCCAGGACTTATGGACTACATTTCAGCTCCCAGTTGACCCTTGCGCAGGGCTATGTCTTGGCCCTTTAGGGTTCAGGTCCCCCAGAATTCCACTGGAAGGGATGGGGCTGCCTGATTGGCACAAAATGGTGTAAGATGACAAGCCTGACCCAAGAGTGAGGTGTCAGGGGATGGATGGCCCCTCTAGGACTAGTTGCCTGCTTAACACACTTTCCACTCTCTAAAGGCATGTAAGGAGCCTGACAAGCTATAATAAAGAACTGCATTTCTAGAGACCTCTATCACTACATACAGTGCTGGGGATCATTCACAATAGCCCTAAATTCTGGAGTCTGGGCTGTGGCCTCTCAGAAAGGCCCATTTACCTCTCAGCTGCCATTCATATGCTGATGCCCAATCCCAGGTCACTGAAGCATTGGGATAAGATAAGCCTTTTCCCTCTTTTCTGCTCAGCTTCTGGGTCATCAGCCTGCAGTGAAGCCAGCAGGTAAATTGCAAGTGTCACACATGTACCCATAGCAGCAGTGCGGTGTAATACATATAGAATAATGGCTTAGCTGTGGAGCCAGGTGAAGACAGCTTTGAGCCAATAGGAAACAGCAAAAAGTGTTTTTCCACAGCACTTTATAGTTTACTACATATTTTCACATCCATTATCACATTTGAATGGGCAGTGCTAACACCTAGGCCCAAAAAAGAAAGCAGGAGGCAGAAATACACTCCTACAGACACACATTGAAACACACATATCAACATACACAGACATCCTCACACATGCACTCACAGGAATAAACTCACAAGTTCATTCACTCATAAATTCAGTATACATGCTTACCTGCACTCACATATTTACACGTGTGCACACATCTGTGTACATACAAAACATGCTTACACATTCACATACACACATGAACATATTCTCACAAACACACTCAAAAATTTATTCACACACATAAATTCATATGCCTCTGCTCCCACATTCACTCAAACTTGCATACAAACATGCTCCCATGTACAGACACTGCCAAATTCACTCACACACATAGAAACATGCGCACACACACATGCTTGGATATTCACACACATGGACATACACACATTAACATGTTCAAATATTCATCCATACACATAAATAACTCTTATTCGTCCACATACAAAAAATGCTTGCATACACTGATGTGTACGTGCTTACACATGCACATTAACATGATTGCATGCAAACAGGCTCATGCATTCACCCACACATGAGGTGCTTATACACATGAACATGCTCACATATTTACCAATTCACACACACAGGCTCACACATTAAGGCACATCCATATCCACATGCACAGATATATTCACACATTCACTTATACCTGCACAATGACACACTAACATATGTGAATATGTTCATGGATTCACTTGCACATCAGCATGGTCACACATTCAATTACACACCAGGACACTCATGTATGCTCATATTCAATCACACACAAACATGCTCACACATCCACTCAAGCACATAAATGTGCTTACATAGACTCATATCCCCACATGTATAAGTATGATGAGTGTGAGAATATAAGTGTGATCACTAATCACACTTAAAACTTGCATACAAATAAGGTCACATATGCAAACAACTCACATATTACACAATAAGCATGCTCATGCACAATGACACAGACACATACAGTCACACACTCAGAAGTTCACTTACCTTCCTAAACATTCACTCACACAAACACATTCAATTACACATTCCCTCACACATGCACTTAACATGCCCACACACAGACTGACACATGAGCATATTCATACACACAGACACATCCATCCAACACACAAACATTCACATACACTCATGTAAACACAACTTTAACATACAAACATGAGCATGCATTTACTCACACATGGACATGCTTATGAATACATTACATTCACATATAAATACAAATACATTCACATGTGAACAGACTCAGACAACCCACATGTTTACTCCCACACAATACACTTCAATACATACACGTTCACATATTTGCTACCTCACAAACACACATAGACTCACACATTCACCCACACTTACATATGAATGCACTCATATTTATAGACATACTCACACATTTACTCCCACAAAACACTTGAATATTTCAATATTTATACATGCAGACATGGTCACATCCACTCATGTACATGTTCACACATTTACTCACACACAAACATGCTCACATACATGAAAACACCAATTCACTCACACACATGAATGTACTCATACATTAACATGCTAACATATATGAACATAGAAATTTGCTCACACACACAAATATATACATGTTCACACATTCACTTGCACATGAGCACATTCATACACTCCCACACATCAACCTGCCTACATGCTTGCATGTGCTTACACACTTACTTACATGCAGCATATACAAGCATACAAACATGCTCATGCATTCACTCACACATGAACACACAAATTCACTTATAGGCATGGACATGCTCACATACATATACTCACACATTTACACACACAAGTAAGTTCACAAATACACCCATGTTCACACATTCCCTTGCACATTAACAAGCTCACATACACTCATACAGTCACACATTCACTCACTCATAGTTGCACACTCAAACACACATTCAAATTCATTTGCATATGAACACACATTTACTGACACACAACACACTTAAGCACACAAATGGCTTACAGGCAGACATCCTCAATACTCTCGTGTATATACACTGGCATAGTCACCTGCACGTGAACACAATTACAGATTTGCTCATGTATGTGAATATGCTCACATACACTCATGTGCACAACTCACACATTCATTCACACAAAGACACATACTAACTCACATATGGACACACTCACATGCACTCACACAAATATGTTCATACACACCACAAATCTTAGCTCTGTTTTTGGGCTCATTGCTCTTGAATTTTTATCAGAAAACCATTTGGAAAAAGAGTGCTTCATCTCCATATTTTCTCTTTATCTTACCTTCATCATATCATGGGCGAGGCCCAGCTGTAAGAGCTTAGCTCGTGTTAATTATGAGATCAGTGCTATCATTATCCCTATTTTACCCATGAGGAAACTTGCACTCAGAGAGATTAGGTAACCTTTTTTTTTGGTAATTTTTATTTAAATTCCAGTATAGTTAACATACAGTGTAATATTAGTTTCAGGTGTACAATCTAGTGATTCAACATTTCTATACATCACCCAGTGCTCATCTCAACAAGTGCACTCCATAGTCCCCATCACCTATTTTCCCCCTCGTCTCTGGTAATCATCACTGTGTTCTCTAGAGTTAAGAGACTGTTTCTTGGTTTTCCTCTATTCCTCTTTTTTCCCTTTGCTCATTTGTTTCTTAAATTCCGCATATGGGTGAAATCCTATGGTATTTGTCTTTCTGTGACTGACTTATTTTGCTTAGCATAGTACTCTCTAGCTCCATCCATGTTATTGAAAATGGCAAGATTTCATTCGTTTTTTATGGCTGAGTAATATTCCTGTGTGTGTGTGTGTGTGTGTGTGTGTGTGCATGTGCACGCGTGTGTGTGTGTGTGTGGTTATGTTTTATAAACAATCTCATTTAATATGGCAATTCATATATATATATGAAAATTTATTCTGGCATCATACTTGCCTCTGTAAAAAGTGGGTCATCAGTGAAGAACTCTGACAAATACGTTAAGATATAAAAACCTATCAGTGCCTTGAGAAAGTGACTTAGCACCTATATATACATTTGGGTGTGTATGTATACTGTATCTTCTTTATCCATTTATCAGTCAGTGGACACTTGGGATGTTTCCATAGTTTGGCTACTACAGATAATGCTGCTGTAGACATTGAGGCACATGTATCCCTTCAAATTAGTATTTTTGTATTCTTTGGGTAAATACCTAGTACTGCAGTTGCTGGATCATAGGGCAGTTCTATTTGTAACTTTTTGAGGAACATCAGCCACTCTGGAAAACAGTATGGAGGTTAGGAAACTTATTCAGGGTCACACAGCTAGTAAGTGTCAAGATGGGGTCCAAACCCAGGCTTGCTCCTGAGTGCATGCTTTATCATACCCTGCATGTAATAGTGTCTTCCCATTTGTAGGTGCCCCTGTGCCTGTGGGAGTATCTATCTATGTCTCCAGTATTGAACAGATCTCAGAAATGACTATGGTAAGTGTGTCACCTTCAGCCATGGGCCTGGGGACAAGGGACATGTGGCAAGGAGCAGAGTCATAAGCCAACTCCAATTGTCCTGACTCACAACAGAGCCCACATAGATGAACATGGTAGGTTTTGTAAACTATAGCCACTGGAACAAAAAATAAATAAACCCAAATGGATTATAGACCTAATAGCGAAAGGCTTATGAAGTTTTTAAAAGATAATATGGAATACTGTGTTTGTGTCTTTGTGGTAGGACTTGTTTAAAAAGACATAGAGGGGCCCCTGGGTGGCTCAGTCAGTTGAGCGCCCAGTTCTTGATGTCAGCTCAGGTCATGATATTGCAGTTTCTGAGTTTGAGCCACGCATCTGAGTCTGTGCTTATAGCACAGTGCTTGGGATTCTCTGTCTCCTCTCTCTTTGCCCCTCCCCTGCTCACACATGCTCTCTCTCTCAAAAATAAAGTTTTTTTAAAAAAAGTTACACAGCCCTTTTAAAAAAATAAATAAAAAGACATAGAAAGCAGAAAGCATAAAACCATAAAAATAAATACTGGTAATTTCAACTATTTTAAATTCTATCTAGCCAAAACGTCTGGAACTTCTGTTTTGCAAAACAGACAAAACCAGTATAAGTGTAAAAGGATAAGTCAGAGTGGACTGAGATATCTGCAACACAAAGAACTGATATTGAAAGTATACATAAGTCCTGTGAATTAATAAGAATATTTTGAAAATGATAGAAAAATGACTAGAGGAGTGCCTGGGTGGCTCAGTTGGTTGAGCACCTGATTCAGCTCAGGCCACCATTCCTGGTTCATGGGTTTGATTTGCACATCTCTCCCCATCTCTGTCCCCTCTCTCTCTCTGTCCCTCCCCCGCTCACGTGTGTGTTCTTTCTCTCTCTCTCTCCCCTCTCTCTCTCTCAAAAATAAATCAACATTTAAAAAAGAAAAAAATGATTAGAAAATTTGTGAAGAAAACCAAGTAGCAAATATGTGAAAACATACTTGACTTTATTATTAGTCAGTGAAGTGCAAACTAAGACCAGAGCAAGAATCCATCACATACCCACCAGATTGGCAAAAGTCAAAAGTCAGACCATACCAGGCAGGAGCTGGCCAGGCAGGAGCATTGAGAAATCTCATCTGTCCTCAGTGTGGGTGTAAACTTGAACTTTCACTTCATAATTCTTATTTAATGTTGATTTGGGTATGTATCATGTGTTCACACAGTGGTGTATATGTAGTATATTCATATGAACAAATTTTATTAACAGACATCAACTTGAATGAATCTCACAAATATAATACATACAGTGTAATTCCATTTGGAAAAAAAATTTTTTTTAAATGGGTCCAAGCAGTGTTTCCTAGAAATATACACATAGACAACAGAATTCTAACAAACAGCAACAAAACTATTATCATTAAGATCTAAGATAATGGATACTGCTGGGAGGTAGGTGTGGGGAATATGTTCTAGAAGGAACACATTGAAACTTAAAGTTATTGGTAATGTTTCATTTCTTAACCTGGATTTTAATTACATGAATTTCAGGTATTCTTTTTTTTTTGAAGTTCATTTTTAACATTTAACATTCTTACATATTTCAGTACTCATCTATATTTGTGATATATTTCATACACCTTCATGCACACACACACACTGTGAGGATGGAGAGGAGGACAACCTCACTTACAGCTGGGATTCACCTTTCTCTCCCCAGGACTATACGATCACAATGTTTTTTCATCAGACCTGGAAAGATCCACGTTTAGCATACTATGAAACCAACCTGAACTTGACCCTGGACTATCGGATGCTAGAGAAGTTGTGGGTCCCTGACTGCTACTTTTTAAATAGCAAGGATGCTTTTGTGCATGATGTGACTGTGGAAAATCGTGTGTTTCAGCTTCATCCAGATGGAACAGTGCGGTATGGCATCCGGTGAGTTTCCCCAGGCACTTGAGGACCATCCTCACAGGCTTCCTTCTTCCAAATGAGTATCCCATAAACACACTGTAAGAGACACACAAAGGAGCCCACAGCTTTCCACATCTGTCTTGTGCTGCCCCCTCACTCATCCTACCCAGTAGTCAAAGTGAAACCTTCAGAGCTTTCCACAACCATCCTTGGCTGTCCTGTCCCCACACCTTGCCCATCTTTCAATCCCTAACTTAAATGCTCTCTTTGTCAAGAAATCCTCCTTGATTACCTCAACTCAAAGAGCTGTCCCTCCACTTTAGCGTTCTTTTTTTTTTTTTAATTTTTTTTTCAACATTTATTTATTTTTGGGACAGAGAGAGACAGAGCATGAATGGGGGAGGGGCAGAGAGAGAGGGAGACACAGAATCGGAAACAGGCTCCAGGCTCTGAGCCATCAGCCCAGAGCCTGACGCGGGGCTCGAACTCACGGACCGCGAGATCGTGACCTGGCTGAAGTCGGACGCTTAACCGACTGCGCCACCCAGGCGCCCCTCCACTTTAGCGTTCTATACATTCTGTTATTTATCTTTGTTTCTTTTCTCTTCCATGCAGTGAGGGAGGGAGACAAATGAATGCTGAAGCCCATATGTAATGAGGGAAGGGGACCAATCTCTGCCATTGGTCATATTTGCATCATGCAGGGGAGCCCACGGTGTGCAATATATGTCTATTGTCTATGGCTCTGTACACATAGGATGTGCACATGCTGGAAATCCTCACTGGCTTATTTATAGCACAGTATATGGTCACCAAGGCTCTCCCCACAGCATCATCTCTTATAAACTATCACTTAAGACGAGCATAAGAGATAAATGTAGCTCAGAAAATTTTTCCAAAAGGTAGTTGTGCCAGGGTTCAGCCCCTGTCTCTGAGTCTCTCTTTCTCTTGGGTGCTCCTGTTCTATCCCTTTGTTTCTCCCTTCTTTCTCCATGGCCCAAGGTGCTAGAGTTAAAGAACAACAAAACTTACAAGGAACAGATGACTGGTCATACCTGTTTCATTAAAAGGGGTCCTCAGCTGATAAACGCTGCATGGAGGATTCATAGAAAGGAGAAACACACACACATCTCTACCCAGTGTACAAAATGGAAATTGCTTAAAGGGTTGAAAGGGACTACACTGGGATTAGCAGCTGGGAAGGGCAGGATAACGGATAGGGGACAGCCTCCCAGCGGAGGCTGCAGAGAACGTTTGTAATTATCCTCTTTCCCACAGGCCATTCCTCCCACTTCCCTAGCTCCTCCAAGATCCTTCCTCAGATTCCTCCCACAGACGCACCACCTGGCAACTTGAAGCCCCTGCCCAACACTGCATGACCCACCTTAGATATGTTAATACCTCCTACCCATTTATACCTACTACTGGCAATTTGCTCAGCTCCAGTGGTCCATGTACTTAGGCAGATACGCAGAGATGAGAGTGCTATGGGAGCACCTCTCCTAGCCAAAGGTGGGCCTGTGCTACAGCTCACATCCATGCCTGCACGACACATACGGGCACTCCACATGGGATCTGGCACATCAGCTGCTCCAATGTAGCCTTGCTCCCTCTTCAGCAAGAAACTCCACTTTCTGTCTCTCCATCCAGTTTCCTCAAGAGCCCTTCCCATTCTGATGCCCTGAGACTTCCTGACATGCCACACACCTGTTCTTTAAGCCCTGCCAGACTTGTTGGCATATACATTCCCTCTCTCCTCCCTCCACAAGTGCAACTTAGCTTTCCTCTAGAGAGAAAGGAAGGAAATGAAGAGGAAAAAGAAGGAAAGAAACACTGGAGGGAGAAGAGGACCCAGTTCTAGTGTAGGCAGTATGGGAAGATGTTAGGTGAGTCAGCACTTGGAGTACCTCTCTCCTGCACACCCCTGCAGCCTTCTCAGGAATGGTTCTTTGCCTGAACTTGATTCGCTTTTCCCTTCCTTCTGCTTTTCCTTTGCAGACTTACCACCACAGCAGCTTGTTCCCTAAATCTGCAAAAATTCCCCCTGGACAAGCAGACCTGCAAGCTGGAAGTAGAGAGCTGTACGTATGTCCTCCAAGGCCCCTCATTTCTACTTGGGGTTATGGTTATCCAGAAACCAAAAGCAGAGTAGAGAGTGAGAGGGATAGCATATTTCCCCTACTCCATCCCTCCCCATCCTCTCTCTCCTCAGTAGACAGACAGACAGACAGAGGTATATACAGAGTATCTGGGAGAAGGTGGACTTTAATGTGTAAATAGTCCCATGAGGAAATTGTACCTTGCTATTGGGAAGTTGTGTACAAGCTAGTGTGCAGGAGCACATCTGTTTGCTTTCTTTCCTGGCTGAGAAATTCCAAAGTGAGAATTCCCTTTCCAAGCTCCCCCCTCTTCTGTGCTCAGACTCAGCAAACCACAAAGGTGCCCCAAATGTGCAGGTTCCAGCCATTCTTTGGGTTCCACAGACTGCTCTGGTGTAAAATCTGCCTATGCCTGCTTTCTCAGACCGACCTGCTTCTTTCCCTCTCCCAGATGGCTACACGGTTGAAGACATTGTATTATACTGGGAAGGCAATGGGAATGCCATCCAGGGGACTGAGAAGCTGCACATTCCTCAGTTCAGCTTCCTGGGGAAAACAATGGCTAGCAAAGAGGTGTTCTTCTACACAGGTGGGTCTGATATTCTCTCCTATTTCTTCTCTCTTTTGTACCCTGGTAAACTCCTGGACATCTCTCTGCCTTTGACCTCTGCACTCCTGACCTATTTCCTTCTGGCTCTGTACACCTTCCCAAACCCCCTTCAAAATGAGGAAATGGATGTGGAAGCACTTGGCTGGGTTTGACACTCTACAGGTATAAAAGGTTCATGCTTTTGCTGATAAAAATAGGCCTCCTCTTAAAGCCAGCCTCTCCCCCTCCATCTGTTTGCAGCTTTGAAATATCCTGTATCTCCCATTTCAAAACTCCAGTTGACATGAAGCAAGTGAGGAAGGAAGGAGGAGAGAACAGACTCACTATGCCATATGGGCCTACTTACATGCCACTGTCACTGGCCTTAAGGCAGCAAATAGGGTCAGATCTACAAACTGCCCAGGCTGGAATAGTAGAGGCTGAACTGCCCATCAGCTTCCCCTCCTCCATCCTGCACTTCACCCTGAAAATCCCCTCAGCCCTGCCACCCTAATACCAGTATGTCTCCTTGCCAGGTTCCTATGTACGTCTGATACTGAGGTTCCTGGTCCAGAGGGAAGTCACCAGCTACCTTGTACAGATCTATTGGCCTACTGTTCTCACCACTGTTGTCTCTTGGATATCGTTTTGGATGAACTATGAATCCTCTGCAGCCAGGGTGACAGTTGGTAGGTCCTGTCCTCATCCCGAGGAGGAACTTGGATCATCTTGCTCAGAAAAAAAGTTGACAATAAGAAAGGAATACCTGGAGTGGTATGTGACTGCACAGGCAAGGAAGCAATATGGTGCCTGCCCAACAGGCATTTATACAGGTCCTCAGCCAATCCCTAGCAGAGACACTGATGTTGGAGACAAGTGTGAAAAAACAACAGGGATAGGATCTTGATATGTTGGGCCCAAAGTATTAGAATTCATTATTTGCTGGATACATAAATGAACAGGTCATAAATTTAGATCAGAAATGTAATACAGCAGGGGTGCCTGGGTGGCTCAATCGGTTAAGCGTCCGACTTCGGCTCAGGTCATGATCTCACAGTTTGTGAGTTGGAGCCCCACATCGGGCTCTGTGCTGACAGCTCAAAGCTTAGAGCCTGCTTCAGATTCTGTATCTCTCTGCCCCTTCCCCACTTGCACTCTGTCTCTCTCTCTCTCAAAAATAAACATTAAAAAAATTTTTTTAAAGATGTGTAGAAATGTAATACAATAAACATAGATTGAGCAACATAGCAAAATGTCCTACTAGGCATCAGAGGACTTCCAGAGAAGCTTGCCCTCAATGAGTGTCTAATGGAATGCTAAGATAGATGCTAGGAGATTCTACACTTGATCTTAGCCAAAAGGCCGAGAAGCAACAGATGCTAGGAGATTCTAGAGGAGGAAATGACCCAGGTCTTGTTGTCTAAAACTACACCAAGAAAATGTTGCTCAAACTGGGTTTTCAGGATTTGTGGGAGGCAGAGGCATAAGACTTGTCATTCACTAAAACAGGAAATTGCTGTTAAAAGGCACAGGGGCCCTAAGAGGGGACTAGATCACAGAGGGCCTGGGGCAAGAGCTGGGGAAATAGGGAGAATAGCAGAAAGACGGGAGGGTTGAATTGGAAAGACCTTGAGATCCCAATTTTAGCAGTTAGAACTTCGTGTCCAAGCAATGGGGAAAACAAGAGGGTTTTGAGCAGTACCAAGGAGGGGCCTAAGAGATCAGCTCCCAAGTTTATCTGGCCCCAGTGTGCCCCACATCCAGGTCTGGTTTTCCATCACCATCTTTGGGGCAGACTCCTCGGCCTCCTTCTTTAGGAGCACATGTTGGACTAAGCCTTTAACATTTGTGTAATATTTTAAGGGCTCACAAACCTTTCTGAGGGATGTGATCTAAAGGAAAGCCCATGTGTCGGAAGGCAAAAGAGATTGGAGATGTAAGTCACTGTGAAACCATGGCTGGAGATTTTGGACTTGACCCTAAGAACAATGAGAAGTCACTGAATCATCAAAGCATGACTGGGTGTAAAGCTGAGGGGGGGGGCAGGGAGGAGCAAAGAGAGCACTTGAGCAAAGTCCCCAGGCCTAGGGAGTTGAAGGCATTTTGCTGAGAGTCCTCCTTATCCCAGAGATGATCGTTGCTCCCTTCCTGTGGGATGTGGACCTGATGGCTTGCCAAGAACTTCAGCCACCTGAGGATCCTAACCCTGCCATGTTCTTTACAGGTCTGACTTCAATGCTCATCCTGAATGCCATCAACTCACATCTGCGGGATAAACTCCCCCAAATTTCCTGTATTAAGGCCATTGACATCTACATGGTCGTATGCTTCTTCTTCGTGTTCCTGTCCTTGCTGGAATATGTCTACATCAACTATCTTTTCTACAGCCGAGGTGGATCCCGGCGCAGACTCAGGCGACACAGGAGAGCCCGAAGAGTCATGGCCCGCTACCGCTACCAAGAATTGATGCTGCAGGTTTGGCTTTTTGACTGACAATCAGCTTTCCCTGATTAGGGATTGGGCACATATTAAAACCTAAGTTTAGCACTTGACCCTTTCACATTTCTTAGCTCCTTTTAGCCTCACACAGCACATGTGTGTGTGTGTGTGTGTGCTCAAACACACAACACAGACACACACACACACCAGATAACAAATAGAACAATTTATCATCACTCCTTTACAGGTCAAATCATTGTCCTAAAGTCACAAAGCAGTAAGTGGCAGAACTAGATTTTCCCAGACCTTTTGACTTCAAATCCAGTCCACTTAGCATACTTTCCAAGGGCAGGTGATGGAACCAGAGGGAAGAGGAACACAGGCAGGCTGAAAGGAAAAGATAGGCAGCAGAGGTGTTGGTCTACCGCTCCTTCCTTTGCTCTTTCAGTTCCCAAAGCCATGCTGAGACTTTTGTTGCTGGCAGTACATTAATGTCCAGCAGTACCCCCTCCTTCACAGGGAGCCCAGCCACATTGCCTGAGGAGCCCTTGCCTCCATCCACCACACAGCACTCCAGAGGGAGCAGCTGCCCCAGGGAGACACAGGCTTGGCAGCCACCATGGATTTCCCTTACATGCTAACAGACTTTTGGTCTTGTTCCTCAGCCCCTTGCACGCCGGAGATCCCAGGAAGAAATGATTCTGTCAGTGGAAGAGATCAACAATCACATTGCAATTGCTGTTGAGGAAAGTCCTCTCCCTCCTCCCTCCCCACCACCAGTGCTTATTCATGTAGGATGTGAACCTACTGACTTTGTAAGTCTACCTACTATCTCCTTAAAGGATGACCAGGTTAGCATAGAAGATGAAAGTGGCTCTCCTTTCTCCACACCAGTACAGGCCTGTCTGGCAAGCCTCGAAAGCCTCAGCTCTTTGACCTCCATCCCAGAGCAGGCCCCACTGGCCACCTCAGAAAGCCTCAGCTCACTATCTTCTCTCTCAGAGCAGGCCTGGATGGCCTCTAGAGAAAGCCTGAGCGATCTCCCCTCCACCTCAGAGCAGGCCCTGCACAGCTATGGCGTTTGCTTTAATGGTTTTGAGATTGATGACAGTGTTATTCCTACTGAAATCCGCAACCGTGTGGAGGCTCATGGCCATGCTGAGACCCATGACCCAGAAGACCCTGAAGAGAACTCGAGCTCAGATGAGAGTCGTGGCTGTGGCCCTAGTGGGAGGCATCTGCTTCTCCACAGCCACAGGTGTGTGCAAGAGGCAAGCTATAGCCTTGATGAGATCCGTAGCAACCTTAATGAGATCCGTAGCAACCTTGATGAGATCCGTAGCTTGCCTGATGACATCAAAGTTGAGAGCGGCTACCTTGACCTTGAGAAGCAACTCGAGTGTGATCTTGACAGCACCTGGAGCCTTAATGTTGATGATTTCATGGGCTTTGACCAAGGCAAGGATAGTAACTCAGAGTCTGATGACAGTTGCCCCCCGAGTCCTGGGTGCTCCTTCAGTGAAGGGTTGTCCTCCAAGCTCTTTCACCCTGACTATGTCCCTAAGGTCGACAGGTGGTCCCGGATCCTCTTCCCTCTTGCCTTTGTGGTGTTCAACATTGTTTACTGGGTGTATCATCTCAATTAGTCCCATAGTGCTCTTTTCATGGTTCCACTTGATTCTACTCTGCCTTCTTTGTTCATTTTACTTTGTGGTTATTTGGGCAGTTGAATCATTTCTACCTTTCTCTTTGTAAACATGAGGTGGTGAGTGGTTGGAAAGGATGCGTTCTGACTGGAAGGAAAGGTATTGAGGAGGAGTTGGAGGTAAATAGCACACTGATTTCCCTTTTCTGCTAGAAGACTATCACCTTTCCAAAGACTTCTACCATCTATTAAGCACAGAGAAGCCCCTAGAAATGTTCAGAGGACAGAGCCAGGTTGGGGGGGATGGAGGAAGCATCCAAGCCCTATGCATAAACATTTCTAGGGGTTTTTCTGTCCCCCCGAGGTGTTGAATTTTCTTTTTCATTACTTTTTTTCTTCTGTTTTTCCTTCCTAGGGATTATGGTCTTGCTCACCCCCTGATTAAGGTTTTACAGGACAAAGTCAAGCTGGGTTGAACAGAGGTACACAGGGGAAGGGCTAGCCATGGCTTTAAAGTGCAAGGGGATGGCACTAGGGAACTTGGGAAACTTTGAAAGTGCCTCTTCCCCACTATTTTTTCTGTTGTATTTTGAGTGTGGCATTGTGGCATGAGGTTGGGAGTGGAATATGAGTGGGTAGGGGTACTGAGTGAGATGTCAGAGTGAGAGATCATGTTTCCAGGAGGAGCTTACAGGGGGTGATGAGGTCAACTTGGAGATTACCCAGATGTAACTAGCATCTTTGGAGGGATTGGAACTTCTCTTGTCTATATTCTGCTTCATAGCGCTTGACAACACAGCCTGAGTACACCTAGGTCAGATGCTGATGTGATCACTAGTTACAGAGAAAGCACTTGATAAATGAAGACTAGGGTCAGGACATTTCTGGCTTGCTATTTCATCCTCTGGTCTAGAACAGCAAATGAAGAATTGTCGTGAATCTCTATATAGTAATCTTATTTGTCTAGTGCACAGCAAGTGTCAACAAGCTCACTGACCCATCACAGTGTCACACCCTCACAGGAGCCCAGTGAGGCAGGAAGGCAAAGCACATTGTCTTCAGTGTTCCAAGGGGAACAAGTGGAGCTTATGTATCATGCTTGAGGACATGCAGCCAGTGAGTGGTAGATCCACTCCACTTGCTCTTCCTTCTTCTTGTCCTTTTAACTCTCTCAACTGAAGTGTTCCCCTTTCTCCTTGCCCCTTTACAAATGGGGGTGCTCCATCGGGTTCTGCTTATCTGCCAGGCACCAGACCTCATTTGATAGCACCTGGAACATCTCTGCTGGAAGTGGCCAGTGACCAGCCAATGAGTGTGAACTGAGCACATGGAACATGAGCACTGCTCACCCAGTGGGGCTCCTAAGGGAAATAGAAAGTAGCCTGCACTCCAACATTCTTAGCAGCTCCACCTCATGAATAGAGGCCACAGGGAACAAGATTTGCCAAGCACTCAGCCTGTGTTTCTCCTTCCTCCCCAGGCAGCCTCTCCCGTAGCCCCTCAGCCACCTACCCTTTTAACTGTGTTTCTGTGTTTGTGTTTCTGTGTATAGCTGAGTGTATGTGTGCATGAAAACAATTTTGTGTGCACATACAACCATTTGAGAAGCTGTACAGCTCTATGTATATCAGTGTAAATCTATATTGATGTGTATAAGAGTGTATATATAACAACATGTGGATGCGTGTATGTGTGTGCATACCCCTAGGAAAGAGTGTGTGTGCTTGTGTGTACACACATGGGTATGTGCTGTGTGTATATGACAGCATATGTGCATACCTATGTTACTTTATCTGATTTGAATGAGTGTGAAAGGAAATACACCTGAAAGCATATTTATTTCCTGTTGGTGGCTCTTCTGGAACCACCATAATTCCTTTGGCCTCCACATATGTGGGGGGCCTTATTTGGCCGGGCTGGTTAACTGTTTCGTTCCAATTCCTTGTTCCAGGGAGCAGTGTCTCCCGGCCCCCATCCATTCTTCTCCTCCTCCCTCCACCCATCTGTGCTGTCGCCTGGACGGAAGACATAGGAGAAGTGAATGTAGTCCCAGGAAGTGACAGTTTAGTGCCTTGAGGTAGGAAGTGCTCAAATGTGAGATAAGCTGGGAGTGCAGAGCATTTTGCTTTGTCCTGAAACGAATGTTTGCATAACAAAGACAGAGATTGAGGGGGGCTCCTTGAAGATGCATTAAGAACAGAAATATGTGGACAATGGATGGAGACAGCTAAAGAACTGGAGAGGGAGTTGTATATAGCCTTTATAACTTATTCCCTTATTGCAATCACATTGTACGCCCAACATGTGTAGGGGCTGAAGACAGCCAAAAGCAGGTGGGTGATGTGAAGACATATCCCAGGGGATCAGCTGTAGCACTGGATGCAGAGAACTAAAGGTGCTTGGGAAAGGCCTGCAGGCATGGCCAGTAGGAGTGGTCCCTTTTAGGGGCACTGTAATAACCCATCCTGCATCTTTGGACAGCCTTGGATTTGGAGTCCAGAAATCCCTCCTCCTACCCACTCCAGGAAAAGAGATTGTTATAGGGGTGAGAGGATTGGCCAAGGAGACAGGTACAAAGGGAGCCCCAGGGACTGACTGTCTAGATCGGTCCAGCTTGCCATGTCTCTTATTTTCTATACACACAACATACAGATATAGCCTCCTACACATACACACCCACAGAGACATAGACAGTCACGCATACATGGATACTCACCCTCAGCACTAAATGGATATATACACAAAGACATGCACACTCACATATAGCTACATATATATTCACATGCACAACCACACACGATTACCCTCATTCATGTGCATGCACATGCGTGCACATACACACACACACACACACAGATAACAGCTAAAAACAAAAAAGTTGCCAATGGAATATCTAAGATTGCCTCTTTCTTTTTGGACACCTCTCACAGAAAGATACAGGTTGGGAGGAGAGCAATGACACCAAATCTGAAGCTCCCATCATGGCTATTGAAAGTCTTGCTTCCTGGAGCCTAAACATTGGTTGGTTGATTTGAATTTGGGTTTCCAGTATCCTAGAGGACCGTCGAGCCCTGTAGGAAGTGAGTGGCCTATCTGGGGTGATGTCATACAGAAAGACTGGAGCAGTGGGGACCAGAAAGCGGGTTTGAAGATTGGTCTGGCAGCAGTGCATAGGAAGGCTTCAGAGCACAGACGAAGGGCATAGAGGCCAGTTGTAAATATGTCTGTAGATCCACATAGCTAGATAAAATATTTATACCTTAAAATGAACATCTCGGGAGCACCTGGGTGGCTCAGTCGGTTGAGCGACCAACTTCGGCTCAGGTCACAATCTCGCAGTTTGTGAGTTCGAGCCCCGTGTCGGGTTCTGTGCTGACAGCTCAGAGCCTGGAACCTGCTTCGGATTCTGGGTCTCCCTCTCTGCCCCTCCCTTGCTCACGCTGTCTCTCTCTCTCCCAAAAATAAATAAATAAAATAAAAAAAGAACATCTTGCCCTAATGTGCTGCAATGAGAGCAGTTGAACTCTACTGCAACTCACACTGCGTGAGGTTGTCAAGGTTAGGTGGAGGTTTGGCAATGACACCTTTGCAGAAACTTGAACCTTCTGAGTTTTTCATGGACTTGGTCATTTTAGCCTGAAAATTGCCAGATCTCCCCTTGTTGTCTTCTATGTGTGTTCTGTCGTCAGTGTCATTGTGGAGCCCTATCCTCAGCCAGCTGCCTACATCCCCTCCCACTCCTCACCCCACACCAAGTAACTCTGAAGTGCAGAGTATCTAGCAGGGCTAGATACTAGAACTACTAGGGTTCAGCCCACAGAGCCATTCTCAGCCCCAGCCAATCAGAGAGTGCTTATGGTAAGATAATTCACAGCTTGAGCAGAGGGAAGGGTCTTGTTGAGATTGGGATGGAGCAACCCTCACTTCACTTTTCTGCACAGCTTTCCTTCCTTTTCCTCACATGGGCTATCCCATTAACTTTCCCTCTAGAATTCCTTCTCCACCACTACCACAGGAAGGGCATCCTCTGTCTCTTCAGAGTGTCATTTTGTTGTGAGGATGTGTGATATGTTTCCTACCCATTCTTGCCTATTCCATCTGCCACTGTGGGGTGCCTTTGCAGAGATAACAAATGATCTATTGGGTCTTACTGTAGCTTATACAATGTATTCTTACAATTTGTGTCATCTTGTTAATAGCAAGGCTGTGGTGTCTTTGCATATTTAGAACTGAACTTTGCTGAGACCATGGCCATTCCTAATGAGGTTTCTTTATTCTGTACTTAAAAGAAGTAACACTTTGAGCTATTAACTAATGAATGCATTTGCTAAACCATCCACCTGCATGGTACCTTGCTTTGGTGATGAGCATCAAAGGAAATCTTGACTTGTGCTATTGAAAGTGCAGTGTATTTGTGTTTGTTGTGTAGTGTCCTGTGATCAATATGAAATCCCTATTGTCAGTGTTGTGTTTTCAGGGTAGGGAGGGGGGAGGGTGTTACAATGTCTCTCTGATATATTTCAGTTATGAAATAGCCTCAATTGGTCAGGGTCACCTCTGTTAACATGTGTGAGACTTTACACCCACTATCTTGCCAGACTGCATCCCTGGGGTCAATAGTCATTAGCAGAACTAAAGGTGCCCGAGTGTAGTGAAACTGGCTGTGGTGCCTGACTTCGGGCAGTGCAAGAGAATCCTTCAGAAGACAGGCAAGGCAGTGCCATTCTGAGGCAGATCAAATACAGTAAAACCACAAACATGGAGGTCTTCAAGAAAACCAAGAAAGGACCAAGAAGAAAAACTACATGTCTTGCTGTCCTGAGCTACATAATGATGCAGAATGGCAGACACCCCTCCAAGATGACCCAGTTCCCTCTTTGTCCTCATTAAATGTACATTTTTGCATGAAAAAGACCTTGACCAGTCTGGACTTCAAAGAAGGAAAACATGAAGAAACATAAAATTATGCTTCTGAAAAATATGCTGAAATAAAGGTTGTAAATAGCCAAAAGGAGAAAATAAAATTAATATATATAATGCCAATTACACTTATGGGTTGTTGTGTTTCCTCTCTTGGATTGGAAGGGAGCCGCTTCTGGACCTAAGAAGCCTCTGGCTTTCATTGCTCACCTTTCCCTTCCCAAGGCTTTGCATATTGACCTCCTCATACCCTGAGATATTTGAATCCATAGTTTTCAAGCAGACTGGAAATATTAATGTACAGTTGAAATTAGTTTACACTTTCACACAAGCATTTTAATCATATGAAACAAAAATTATAAAACATGTCAAGCCATTGTGGTGCCAGAATACAATGAGGACATTTATTTGCAGTGGCAGGGGCATCTTTATGAAGAACATTTTTAAAAAAGTATCTTTTAGGGTGCCTGGGTGGCTCAGTCGGTTGAGCATCCAACTTCAGATCAGGTCATGATCTCACAGTTCGTGGGTTCGAGCCCTGCGTCAGGCTCTGTGCTGACAGCTCAGAGCCTGGAGCCTGCTTCAGATTCTGTGTTTCTCTCTCTCTCTGCTCCTCCCCTGCTCACACACTGTCTCTCTCTGAAAAATAAATAAAGATTAAAAAAATTTTTTAAATATATCTTTTGTGGTGCCTGGGTGGCTCAGTCAGTTAAGTGCGCCTGACTTCAGCTCAGGTCATGCTCTCATGGTTGGTGGGTTCAAGCTCTACATTGGGCTCTGTACTAACAGCTCAGAGCCTGGACCTTGCTTCAGATTCTTTGTCTCCGTCTCCCTCTGCCACTCCCCCACTCGCTCTCTCTCTCTCTCTCTCTCTCAAAAATAAATAAATAAACATTAAAAAAATTAAATCTTTTTTGCCAATGTGGATGTGCAGAATAGAGAGCAAGAAAACCCGGGGGCGCCTGGGTGGCGCAGTCGGTTAAGCGTCCGACTTCAGCCAGGTCACGATCTTGCGGTCCGTGAGTTCGAGCCCCGCGTCAGGCTCTGGGCTGATGGCTTGGAGCCTGGAGCCTGTCTCCAATTCTGTGTCTCCCTCTCTCTCTGCCCCTCCCCCGTTCATGCTCTGTCTCTCTCTGTCCCAAAAATAAATAAAAAATGTTGAAAAAAAAATTAAAAAAAAAAAAAAAAAAAGAAAGCCCTATGGGGGTGGAAGCAGGTTTTAAAAATTTTGTAGAGTCCTGCACATTGTTAGAGCTTGGAGTTGAGGCCCCTGGCTAGTGATAAACTCACAGGGGTAGATAGCATGCTACATGAGGGGCAAACCTTTCACTAACACCACGAGGGTCTCTGGCACAATGAGTAGAGTTTGATAGTAATTCTTGCTGCAAGAATAAAAAAATAATAATAATAGAATTTGTAAAAATAAAAAACTTTGTAGAGTCACATTAAAACATCCTGCCACTGGCCCAGAAGGTCCTTGTTGTGGCCCACATTTGTGAGTGCACCCACCTCCAAGCACCTTTTGATGAAATCCTTGGAGTTACAACAGGAACCCTAACCTAGTGGCTCCTCTGCGGTCCCTTTTGTGCCCAAAACAGGCCCGCAGAACTGTGCATTCACAGCGTGCTTTGCTGGTCTGTTCATGGTGGGAGGGGCCTGGTGTCCTTACAGGTACACATAGAAGGAGAAAATGCAGTTGAAGGTAAGGAGGAGTTTTCACAGTACACCTGGATCGTGCTATTAGCTACCAAGTTCTTTTCTGGCTACGTTCTTGCCACAAGTCAGGTTTTGTATTTATTTTGTACAAGTCAGGTTTTGAGGGTAGCCAGCGACCCCAGGTGGAGCTTGCTGCCCTTGAATGGTCCTACTGTCAATTGCTGCCCACTGATTATACAGCTACCCTAAAGAATAGGTCAGAAGAAAGGGAATGTGACCTCTTTCTCTCTTTGCAGCCTCCCTTAGGGTGAAAGAGCCCTTGCCACAACCTTTCCAGGATTTCAGCAAGGCCTCTCTTCCCAGCCTCCCATATTGGCCTACCTTCCTCCAAACCCTGGCAAGGCCTCCCAGGGGCTCCTTAGTACTGCTTTCCCAGTCCAGGTCTCTCCTAAGCTCTCCTCCTGATCAGAATCTCAAAAGAATTAGTAATACAAGACTGAGGCAGATTTGTTTTATTTTTCAATAACTGTAAGTGCATTTTTATACTGATACATTTAAAAGTAATAGGGGATAAGGGACTATTCATCATGAGACTCAAATGAGTTTCTGTCCAATGGTCTGGAAGCAGTTCAGAGACTGCACCCAATGTGGAAGTGCCAGAATTTGAACATGAACCCTTCCCATGGCCAGGCTAAGACTTGCTGCAATAGAATGCAGTCCAGCATCCTTGACTCTAGATTTCTCAATTTCAATTTACAAATCAGCTTCTTAGAAAGTCTCCCTTTAATATCACATGGGGGAAAGATGTTAAAAATTTATTGAAGATTGTGGACACCAGCCCCCACTTCTGTCTAGAATACTCTGCATGATTTTGGGCGAGACTCTGATCATTTGGGGACTTCTTCCATTCCTCGCCTTTCCCAGCCCATTCTCACCCCAGGCCAGGTGCACCACTCAGAGTTCTGCCCATTAGTAAGATTTTCCCTCCCTACTTTCTTTCAAGACCACACCCATGTTAAAACCAGCCCATGTTTCAACCAGCCAGGGCCCAACGGAATCCCATACAGTCATAAGTGCAAGCTGGGGAAGGGGTGCTGGTGCAACTGTAGCAGGTGGTATGGGGGTCTGGGCTATCTGCTCATGTAATTGGGTCCTCTGCTACTACTCAGGCTAGAACAGGCCAGCACTAGTATCTCTACCATGCTGTATCATTGGATGCAAGCAGCCCAGGAGAAGTACGGCCTTATTGCAAATGCAGCTGAAGCTGGCAAGCAACTATGCCCCTTACAATAGATTCTCTTGCTAAACATCTGAGTGGCACACCTCCATGGACACAAAACAAACACATTTTACTATTGCTAATGTTGGTTTACTTCTTTCAGCATACTATTTTGCACCTAACCAAAGACCCTCTTCTGTTACTGTGCTTGTGGTTTGGTATAGGCCAGGACTCCAGGACAGTCTCCATCCTGGCACTCTCTACATACAGGAATATGTGGATGCTTTGCTAA